TTTTAGTGTGAAAAATAAAAGCGCACAGATGATCAAATAGCATCAAAAGAAAACTCTATTTGTGTGGAAAAAAAAGTAAGCTCCAAGGAGCAGGCCCTCCTATCCCTCTTGTATTGAACTGTATTGTTGCTGTATTGTCTACCGTTATATTGTAAAGCGCTGAGCAAACTGTTGGCGCTATATAAATCCTGTATAATAATAATAATAACATAAATCTTGTTTGGCTGCAGTATTGCATGACCACGCAATTACCAGTTGAAATAGTGCAGCACTGTATAGCAAAAAGAGGCCTGGTCAGGAAAGGGGGGGGGGGGGGGTAAAAGAAACTTGTTTTTTATTTATTTTAAAACTTTTTTTTTTATTTTTTCACTGTGTTTTTAAATGTTTTTTTTCATCCCCTTTATCCTTGTAACAAGGAATGTAAACATCTCTTGTGATAACAATAAGCAGTGACAGATACTAATAAAGTGTTACTAAAACCACAACAGTAAAATCAGTCCGTATATGCAGTAAAGTATGCTTGTTATCCACTTGCCGCCCAGCCACTGTAGAAATACGGTGGCAGGGCGGCACTGGCAGGCAAAACCACATTTTAAAATGTGTGTTTTGTAAACAAATAGGGGGCGCGTGCGAGGCGCGCCGCCGCCCTATTTGTCCCGTCGATCACCGCCGCGGATGTCAGTAGCCGGGTCACAGCCGGTCCTTAGCGGCTGTTTCCCGGCTATCGGCGGTAAACAGTGACAGAGAGCACAGCTGCAGTAGCTGTGCTGTCTGTCACTTCCTTGTCAGCTCGAGGACGAGCTGATCGAGACAGAAGAGTTTCTCTCTCTCGATCAGCCTTGTCCTGTCCAGTACACAACCCCGCCCCCTAGTAAAACACTCCCCCTCACTCAGATAACCCTTCCCTGCAAAATAAAGTTAACCCCTTCCTCCCCAGTGCCATTAGTACAGTGTCAGTGTTTTTCTTTTTGCACTGATCACTGTATTAGTGTTTTTGGGGATGTCAGTGACCCCAAGTCAGTACCCCCCAATGTCAGAATGTCTGCCCTAAGTCCCGCCATAAGTCGCTGGTCGCTGCCATAAGTCACTGATCGCCGCCATAAGTCGCTGATCGCCGCCATTATTAGTATAAAAAAAAAAACTAAAAATCCCAGTATCTTTCCCGCCATTTTTAAACGCTATAACTTTCACGTAAACCAATTAATTTACACAGATTTTTTTTTTTTGTAGCAAAGACATGTCGCAGAATGCATTTTGGCAGAAATTTATGACTAAATTTTGATTTTTGCATTTTTTTTACTGGACATGTTTTATAGCAAAAAGTCCAAAATATTGTTTTTTTTTCCTCAAAATTGTCAGCCTTTTTTTCTATAGCGCAAAAAATAAAAACCGCACAGGCGATCAAATACCACCAAAAAAAAGCTCAATTTGTGGGGAAAAAAGGATGTAAATTTCATTTATGTACCGTATTGCATGACCGTGCAATTGCCTGTTAAACTAGCGCAGCGCTGTATAGCAGAAAAATGACGTAAGTTGCAGTATTTATACTATAGTTTGTAGACGCTATAACTTCCACACAAAGCAATCAATATACACTTATTGGGATTTTATTTTACCAAAAACATGTAGCAGAATACATTTTGGCTTAAATTTATAACCAACTTTGAGTTTACTATATATTTTTTTTATAGCTGAAAGTAAAAAATATTGTTTTTCTTCAAAATTTTTGGCCTTTTTTTGTTTATAGCGTGAAAAATAAAAAGCGCACAGATGATCAAATACCACCGAAAGAAAGCTCTATTTGTGTGAAAAAAAGGACGTAAATTTCGTTTGGGTGCAGCATTGCATGACCGCGCAATTATCAGTTGAATTAGTGCAGCGCCGAGTAGCAAAAAGAGGCCTGGTCATTAAGGGGAGTAAATCCTCTGGAGCTCAAGTGGTTATACACTGTCAGGAATGGGCTCACCTGCCGTGTGGGCTGCAGTACCAGTGCTTGCCAGCAGGTGCTTTCAGCAGCCAGGATCTTACTCTTGCAATCAAGCTATCACCTGAGGCTGATTACAGGAGGTATATTTAAGCAGCACCAGGCCTGTAATCAGTGCCTTGGTGTTTTCCCATGTGCCCTGATCCTGTTTCCTGTATCCTGCCTGCTTGACTCTCCTGCTTGACTCTGACTCTGCTAGAACTCCGCCTGCACCGACCCCAGCTATTCCTGACCATTCCCCTGGCAATCGCACTACATTTTGTGATCTGTTTGGGGGTGTCATTGATTTAACATTGACACCCACTCCAGATCACATGAACACTGGGCGATTGCAATGCACTGCGGGAAATGCACAGGACTCAGTGAGTTTCCTGCATCACATTAGTGTGAACCAGGTTAAGAGTCCATGCACGCTGGGCTTAAAAATCACTGCTTGTACAGGAGTTTGTGTTTACCCATAGAAGCAGCTCGATGTTATCTTATGTGTCTATGCACATAAGGAGTTTAGAGGTATATTTTAGGCTCAGCATTTAGAGGCAGAAAAAAAACTATTCTGGATTGCGTTTTTGAGAAGAGTTTTCTGGAAGAAAAAAACGCGAAACGCTCATAAACGCATGTACAAAAACTCTCTCTATGAGTGTTTTTTTTCTTGCAAGAGAACAGTCAGTTTTTTAAGCCCAGTGTGCATGGACTGACTGAGAGATCTAGGGTCTGTTAGATCTCATACATCTTCTTTGCCCTTAAAAGGAACTGGTCACACAGATCTTGGTGTGAAACAGTAAGGAAAGGGTTTAAATGCACCCACAAATGTAGAAGTAAAAAAGACTCATCGCTCTGGTCACTTGCAGAGTTTGGCAGGAAGGTGGCTGGGTGTTGCAGAGTAGCACCTGGAAGCTGCTGTAGCAATGCAACAGAGTATGGCTGGGAAGTGACATTGGGCTTAGAGGAGGTAAGAGATGGAACAAGCAGCCAGGAGCCGTAAGCAACGTGGAACGCAGCAGCCAGGTCCGGAACTAGAAGTGACGTTGAACGTTATGTCGTTGTAGGCTATGGGCATGGTAAAATGTATCGGGACAGCTCCTTTGTCAAAGCATAAAGGGAACACAGATCTGTATAGCCTATTGATAGGAAAAAGGGAGGGAGGGGGGCAGCACTTATAGTAAAAAAGTTTACTTCATAGGTCTACTTGGGGAAACATGAGTGTAACCTTATGTAAATTACTGCTCTGAGAAGAGGACAAGTAGAAAAGGACAGGAATCAATGACTGTGTCTTAAAGGGGAACCTCAACCCTATACCAAGATCACCCTAGCAGTACAGTGTCACCATAGCAACACTGTACTACTTTGGGGGGAGATCCGTGATCCGGATTTTTTTGTTTTACACTGTGATTCCTTTTACAGCCATGATGGCTATAAAAGCAATCATCTCTCACTCTGTCAGGAATGGACTTGCCAGTAATGGTGGGACTCACCTGCCTTGTGGGCTGCAGTACCAGGGCTGGCCAGCGGGTGCTCTCAGCAATCAGAGACTCAACCCTGCAGCCAGCCAAACACCTGAAGCTGATTATGCAGGTGTATTTAAGGGATGGCCAGACCTGCAGTCTGTGCCTTGGTGTGTGTGTGTTTTTCCTGGGCCCCTGTATCTTGTAACCTGCATTCCTGTTCCTGCCTCTGCCTGACTTGTTGCTGACCTCTGCTTGATCCTGACCTCTGCTGACTTCTCCTGTTTTGATCCCTGGCTTGTGACCCTGACCATTCTCTCCGCCTGCTCCTCCTGTACCTACCTGCCCGATAGTTATTGACCCGGCCTGCCTGATTACGTTGTGCTCTATATGTGTATGTACCTGTGTATCTGTATCAGTCTAGGTTTGGGTTTGTTTCACCTTGTTGTATGTATTTTGTTAGCTTGGGGTTTGGTGCACTGCGTTTATGTATTGTTAGTGTTAATAAATTATATTGTTTATATCATATCTGAAGCCTGCGTTTCCCTGCGTCGGTTCACATACCTCTGGTCATACCCTGGAGCCCTGACATTACACCAAGGCCAATCCTGACCAGAAGTGGCTGCACAGGGAAGCCATCTTGGCTTGTTGCTGGAAGGATGGATCTTGATGAGGTTGTGTATTTGTCGCTGCTGGTTTTTGATGACAGAGAATATGCTTATCAGACTCTGAGGGAGTATACCTGGGATCAACTGCTAGAATGTATATGGATCTCTCATGTTCTAGTAGATCAGGGCACAGAGTTCTCTGAGGTGCAGCCATTGATTCAGGTTTGTGCGGAGTTGGCTTCATCTGGTACCCCTGAAAGCAGGAATGACTTTTTGCCACCATTTAGTGCAGACCAGGTAGAGTCCCTGGTATGGTTATTAGAGGATGATGTGGATTGCTTCTTGGAGCATTATGCTGCATGTTCACCACAGTATTAAGGGATTGTATAAACGCAGTGCAGTCTTTGGTCAGACAGGCTTTGTGTAAGCTGAGCTTTGTTCAACCCGTACTGCAGACATGGTCAGACTTGTTGCACCAGCCTCAGTCAGCTTGCAAAAACCCAGTCCTGCTTCTAATCTATTTCTTCAAAGCTCTATTCCTGCATTCCCAACAGCACCCTCCAGTTACAGCCCAGTATACCCTGCTATCTACCGCATGTCAGTACCCTGTTCCCACTCGCTGCACCTATCCTGCCTTTAACCCTGTAAAGAAGCCCTCTGTAGCAACTGTTCCCTCCCCCTGTTCCACCCTCCAGCTCTTCTCTGTCTCCAGCTGCTCCATCCATTTACAAACCTGCGCTTACTTACAGTGCTCCGGTAACTAAAACCAGGAAAAGGCGGAAGTTCTTTCCAACCAATACCATCCTGCCAGTATCCAAACCGGTCAGCCTCCCATCTGAGAACCTGCCTTCCGTCCGTGTGCAGCCTGGTGCCTCGGCGCCCACAATTCAGCCTGATGCCTCTACCCAGCCTGATGCCTCTACCCAGCCTGATGCCTCCACCCAGCCTGATGCCTCCACCCAGCCTGATGCCTCTACCCAGCCTGATGCCTCTACCCAGCCTGATGCCTCTACCCAGCCTGATGCCTCTACCCAGCCTGATGCCTCCATTCAGCCTGATGCCTCCATTCAGCCTGATGTCTCTACCCAGCCTGATGATCCTATTAGGCCAGTTGACTCGATGCCCGCTGTCGATCCAGACGATCCGGTACCTGATGATCCGGTGCCCGCTGTCATGCCTGGTGACCCGATGCCCGCTGTCGGGCCAGACGATCCAATGTCTGACCCAGTGGCCGCGGTCATGCCAGTTGACTCGGAGCCCCACTGTCGTGCCTGGTGACTCGGTGCCCACTGCCTTGCCAGATGACGCGGTGCCTGCTGGCGAGCCAAATGACCTGATGCCTGGTGACCCAGTGCCCGCTGTCATACCTGGTGACCCGATGCCCGCTGTCGAGCCAGATGATCCAACGCCAGATGACCCGGTGCCCGCTGTCGATCCAGACGGTCCGGTACCTGATGACCCGGTGCCCGCTGTCGTGCCAATTGACTCAGAGCCCACTGTCGTGCCTGGTGACTCGGTGCCCACTGCCTTGCCAGATGACGCGGTGCCCGCTGTCGAGCCAAATGACCTGATGCCTGGTGACCCGATGCCCGCTGTCGAGCCAGACGATCCAATGTCTGACCCAGTGCCTGTGGTCATGCCAGTTGACTCGGAACCCACTGTCGTGCCTGGTGACTCGGTGCCCACTGCCTTGCCAGATGACGCGGTGCCCGCTGGCGAGCCAAATGACCTGATGCCTGGTGACCCGATCCCCGTTGTTGTGCCTGATGACCCGGTGCCTGCCGCTCCGCCTGGAGGCCCAGCGCCTGCCACCCCTCCTGGGGGCCCGGTGCCTGCCCTGCTCCGCCTGAGGGCCCGGTGCCTGCCGCCCGCCTGAGGGCCCGCCGCCCGCCGCCCACCTGAGGGCCCGGCGCCCGCCGCCCCGCCTGGGGGCCCGGCGCCCGCCGCCCTGCCTGGAAGCCCGGCGCCCGTCATCCCGCCTGGGGGCCTGATGCCCGTCGCCCCTCCTGGGGGGCCCGCCGCCCGCGCCCGCCGCCCCTCCTGGGGGCCCGGCGCCCGCCGCCCCTCCTGGGGGCCCGGTGCCTGCCGCTCCGCCTGGGGGCCCGCCCGGCGCCCCGCCTGGGGGCCCGATGCCTGTCGCTCCACCTGGGGGGCCGATGCCTGTCGCCCCTCCTGGGGGCCCGGTGCCTGCTGCTCCGCCTGGTGACCCGGTGCCTGCTGCTCCACCTGGTGGCTGGTGATCCGGTGTCCAGCCTGATGTGCCTCTGCCCGGAGTCCAGCTCGATGTGCCTCTGCCCGGAGTCCAGCTCGATGTGCCTCTGCCCGGAGTCCAGCTCGATGTGCCTCTGCCCGGAGTCCTGCCCGGAGTCCAGCTCGATGTGCCTCTGCCCGGAGTCCTTCCCGGAGTCCTGCCCGATGTGCCGCTGCCCGGAGTCCTGCCCGTGTGCCGCTGCCCGGAGTCCTGCCCGATGTGCCGCTGCCCGGAGTCCTGCCCGATGTGCCGCTGCCTGGAGTCCTGCCCGATGTGCCGCTGCCCGGAGTCCTGCCCGATGTGCCCGCTGCCCGGAGTCCTGCCCGATGTGCCGCTGCCCGGAGTCCTGCCCGATGTGCCGCTGCCCGGAGTCCTGCCCGATGTGCCGCTGCCCGGAGTCCAGCCCGATGTGCCGCTGCCCGGAGTCCAGCCCGATGTGCGCTGCCCGGAGGGTCCAGCCCGATGTGCCAGTCTTTGATATCCCCCAGTTACCAGACCCGGGCGGTGGAACATTTTGCCCAGCTAGGACTGTTTGGAGCGTCCTGAGGCCGCTCCTTGAGGGGGGGGTACTGTCAGGAATGGACTTGCCAGTAATGGTGGGACTCACCTGCCTTGTGGGCTGCAGTACCAGGGCTGGCCAGCGGGTGCTCTCAGCAATCAGAGACTCAACCCTGCAGCCAGCCAAACACCTGAAGCTGATTATGCAGGTGTATTTAAGGGATGGCCAGACCTGCAGTCTGTGCCTTGGTGTGTGTGTGTTTTTCCTGGGCCCCTGTATCTTGTAACCTGCGTTCCTGTTCCTGCCTCTGCCTCTGCCTGACTTGTTGCTGACCTCTGCTTGATCCTGACCTCTGCTGACTTCTCCTGTTTTGATCCCTGGCTTGTGACCCTGACCATTCTCTCCGCCTGCTCCTCCTGTACCTACCTGCCCGATAGTTATCGACCCGGCCTGCCTGATTACGTTGTGCTCTATATGTGTATGTACCTGTGTATCTGTATCAGTCTAGGTTTGGGTTTTGTTTCACCTTGTTGTATGTATTTGTGTTAGCTTGGGGTTTGGTGCACTGCGTTTATGTATTGTTAGTGTTAATAAATTATATTGTTTATATCATATCTGAAGCCTGCGTTTCCCTGCGTCAGTTCACATACCTCTGGTCATACCCTGGAGCCCTGACACACTCTCTCTACCTGCATTCCTGCAGCCATTGACAAAACTGTGATTGGTTACAACTATTACATGGTACAAGGCTATTGTGGCAGGTCTTGTACCTTATGATCTCTGTGATCAATCACAGAGATCACACAGTAGTAAACAATAATGCCAAGAAATTACATCTTGTTTACTACTTCCATGTGATCACTGATTGGCCAGTCAGTGCCACACATGGTACCATTGCGCACAGCACCACAGCAGCCTGGTACAGCTTTCAGTGTTCTGCTGTGTCTGGTGGATACAATGGGCACAGATCGTGCCGCAGCGTGCTCTCACGGACTCTCAGTGGATGTGGGGTGATGTATGGATATGTCAACTCGCATCGCTGCTGCTGCCATTCCACCTGGAACAGTGGATGGATGGGAAACAGTTTTATACAGCTTTAACTCAATACAGTTTTATATTTTGAATTTAGTTAGAATTTTTTAAATTATGTTGTGTTTGTGCTTGCTAATAATGATTATATTGTATTTATATTAAAAATATGGTTTTGATAAACATTTACTCAACTATCATGGGGCATATCAAATTAGTAATAATCTTTTATTTCTACAGGCCCTGTGCTTTCAGAAAATATATGTTTTGGATTGTCTTTCGCTAACTTTCAAAGCTGTAAATGAAAAACCGTGAAAATAGCCAACAACAAAGTGAAAATTAGCAAAAAAATGCTCTGGTCCCCTGGAGTGAAACAGTCGGAGACTTTTGCACTTATTGAACAAATATGCTGTAACAAAATGCTTAAAGTAGTGTATATGTGACCATTTTAGATAGATAGATAGATAGATAGAATTTGTGTTTTGATAGAAAAAATGGTAGTTGCCACACTGTAGGCAGTGTGGTTGTAATTGTTGTTTTTTAACCACTTGCCATCCTGAGGATTTACGCCCCTTAATGACAAGGCCTCTTTTTGTATTCGGCACTGCACTATTTCAACTGATAATTACGCGGTCATGCAATGCTGTACCCAAACAAAATATATGTCCTTTTTTTCACACAAATAGAGCTTTCTTTTGCTGGTATTTGAACACCTGTGCGCTTTTTATTTTTTGTACTATAAACAAAAAAAAGACCGAAAATTTTGAAGAAAAACAATATTTTTTACTTTTTGGCTATAAAAAATATATAGTAAACTCAAAGTAAGTCTAAAATTAGGCCAAAATGTATTTTGCAACAGCAACATGTTTTTGGTAAAAAATCCCTATAAGTGTATATTGATTGCTTTGCGTGAAAGTTATAGCGTCTGCAAACTATGGTATAGATACTGCAATTTATGCCCTTTTTTGTGTTATACTGTGAGATGGGAAACAGCTCTCATTGTTTTTGAACACTGTTTGTGTGGAGTAAATTAAATGTTCTGGACTGACATTCTGCGGTTTAGCCACAAGATGCCACTGTTTTCCTAACAGCCTCAGACTGCATAGATATTTCTATATTCATGAAGAGGTGGGGTTTTGACTCAGAGTTTAGAGAACAGGAAGAAGAGAGAGAGAGGAACCATGTTTGGAGGATGGTGAATGAAGGAGCCGGGTGTGCAGAGAATCTGATGGCATCCAGGTGTGAGAGCATCCCTCAGTAACCAGAGCTGCAGCTAATTGAAGCTGATCGTGTCCAAGACCCTGATCCTGTTCAGAGAAAGGAAGATTGCTGCCAGGAATGCTGATGAGAGCAGAGGAACAAAGCAACATACACTGCGATACCGCATGCTTGTTGGGGAGACATTTGTTCTGTTCAGAGTCACCAGCGGATGGAAAGCAGACCCAGGTCGGTAAGATCGTGCACGCACCTCATTTCAGTGTTGGCGCCTAGAGACTGAGACCAGGCCTATAGTTAGTTAGTTAGGGTCTCTGTTTGTGTCAGGCCACAAGTGTTATTACTGATCATTGGAAGGACTTCATAACTTAAAGCGACATTTCATATTGGAGAGCTGATAAAATCCCACAAACTCAAGCCAGACTGGTGTTTTGCTCAGAAGGAATACTCAGGCATGTGCTATAGGACCAGTTATGGGGGGGAATACTGTAGATTTGTGTAAGATTGTAAGCTGTTGTGCTGCACCGCAGGCTAGCCCATACCATACACCCATACACTGATTCCTGCTCTTTTAGGGTAATAACAGGTAAGGTGTGGAAGCTTAGTTGTGCCCGCCAGTAGGTAAATTACTACACTTTCTACCTTCATCCATCAGAAGGTGCCGTGCTGTGCAGCACAAGGGTCTCAGCCTTTGGGCTGGGTGTATGCAAATTTATTGTATGTTCTCAGCATTTGTGGTTGTGTTTATTTGCGACATCTAAGTAAAATTCTGTTGTGGCAAAAGCTGGTGTAGGGGTTGCTTTCCTCGTCCGTGACTTCACTGTATCCTGGGGAGCCCATCCCGGTACGCGGCTTACAATACAGCGCTGCACTAGTTTAACTGACAATTGCGCGGTCATGCAATACAGTACATAAATTAAATTTACCTCCTTTTTTCACACAAATAGAGCTTTCTTTCAGTGGTATTTGATCACCTGTGATTTTTTTTTTGGCGCTATAAACAGAAAATTAAAAAAAAAAAAACTATTTTCTCATTTCTGACATAAAAATATCCAAAAAACTAAAATGTCATCATAAATTTAGGCCAAAATGTATTCTGCTACATGTTTTTGGTTAAAAAAATCCCAATAAGTATATATTGATTGCTTTGTGTGAAAGTTATAGTGTCTACAAACTATGGTATAGATAATGGAGTTTACACAGCTTTTACTTTCTGACTGCCCATCACATTTCTTGCAGTGCTAAAATACCAAGACCATACAAACACCCCCAAACAGGGGCGGACTGACCATTTGGAAACTCGGGCGCTGCCCAAGGGCCAGGGGTCAGTAGGGGGCCCCATGAGATGCCCCTGGTACCTTTTTCATAAGCTTTTTGGAGTTTGGGCAAGGACATGGGGTCCCCATGATCCCCTATTGCCCGGGGGGCCCCATCAGTTGTCAGTCCGCCCCTGCCCCCAAATGACCCTTCTTCAGAAAGTAGATACCCTAAGCTATCTGCTGAGAGGCATATTGAGTCCACGGAAGATTTATTTTTTTTCCACAAGTTTTTGGAAAATGACAAAAACATTTTTTTTTTTTTTTTACACAAAATTTCACTTAAATGATTTATTGCTCACACATGCCATGAGTTTATGTGGAATTACTCCCCAAAATACATTCTGCTACTTCTACCGAGTATGGGGATACCACATGTGTGAGACTCTTAAGTGACAATTTTGTGTAAAAAAAAAAAAATTTTTTTGTCATTTTCCAAAAACTTGTGGTATAAAAATTAATTCTTCTATTGACCCAACATGCCTCTCAGCAAAGAGTTTGGGATGTCTACAAAAAGTAATTTTGGGGGGTGGGGGGCACTTTATGTCCAACATTAGAAGTTTATGCCACACATCATTCACTCTTCTAACCACCTGAAGACCAAACCTTTTCTGACACTTTTTGTTAACATGAAAAAAAATCCGTATTTTTTGCAAGGAAATGACTTTGAACCCCCAAACATTATATATTTTTTTTAAAGCAGACACCCTAGTGAATAC